TCTTTTGCCCTGTAACTATAGCACTCTTCCTTAGTGGTTCAATTTAAAGAAATAGTCTTTAATCTTTTGCAGGTTAATTGTTGCTTTATCTGTCCCCAGCTACACAGAGCTGTCAAATAATAATGATGATAAGTCAGTTATCTTTTATTTGAAAGAAATCTTAAGTGGAAGCCCACCATGAAAACCACAGAGTAGACATGCTCTGTTGAGAAGGAGATGGTTTGCTTCCCTCCCCAACTGGCAGGTCCAAAGGCCTCATAGTGGTTCCTCTGGGATTCTTAGATCCATCTTGGTACAGACACAGGCCTGTGAAGCAAGAGAGCCATTGAGCTTCATCCATCATTTCAATACCACTTCTGAGCACTGACTGGGCTTATGTGCTAAGTGGAAATGAGAAGTGGCATCGCTGCCCTCCAGAACCGCAGAGCGTATGGAGAAAACAGAGAAAGTGCCAATGTTTAGAATGCAGATGATCTACAGTTATTTTCTCTTAATTTGTGGCTGTTGAGGCCACCAAACGTCCCCCAGGGTTCTTCTCTGGAAGAATTGAATAAGACTTGTAACTCAGAGCAGAATTGCTCCCATTTTAGCTTCAAGAATGCTCCAAGGTCCTCTCTGTAAAAATTTATCTTGAAATATATGTTGTGTGTCTGCTACCACAGGGTAGCCTTTGCAAAGAGGATCAGTGTTTGTAAATTATTAGTTATTTTTACATAGTTTCATTCTTAGCTTTTATTTAAGTAAAATCTCAGACATAACAAAAAGGAAGAGGAAGAAGAAGCAGTACAGTAAAGAAATTTGAAGCCTTCTGGTTAGAATTTTTGTTTTGCAGAGGAAAATAAAACATAGAAATGTCTTTTCATTAAGATGCTCCAGCACATCCCCTGTATAATGTTAATTGCTTAATGACATTAGCACTGTGTGCTGTTTAATAGTCCCTCACAATTAGTTGGCAAAGCACTTTAACATTCATTGTCTCCTTTGGGGCTCACAACAGCTCTGTGAGTGAAGCAGCCAGGTACAGTCTTATTTTACATCTGTTGATACTCAGGGTCAGATTAAGCTATTTCCCAGGGTCACATGCCAGGCATCATGCTTGTATTGCAAGAATGTGGGGTTTAAAAACACAAAAGTGCCGGTGTAGTCCTACCATCCTGCCTGCCATCTTTCTGGGCATAGAAAATGCTCTTTATTTTCCTAGGCCCCAGATCCTTCCCAAATGATAGGCAGCTAAGTAGCCCTTGGTATATGCCAAATGCTATTCTAAACTCTCTCCACTGGGGAAGTTTATTCACTTAACTTTTTTTTATTTGACAATACTGTTATTATTAATATTTTATAGATGTAGAGATTGAAGCATCTCTAGGAAAGTTGACTAACTTCCCTATGACCCAGGCAGGCAGTTAAGTGACAGCAGTCTGGCCCTAGAGAACATGATATTAACCCTCACCCCACAGTGACGGTCGTGTAATAGAGAAATAAGGAAGAGGTAACATGTGATTGACAACTATGTCGTTCAGGATGGTCTTGGTTATGCTGAAGTACAAATATCCCCCAAATTCTCAGTGGCTTATAATGACAAGGATTTACTTTTCTTTGGTATTTTGTATCTGTTATGGGAGGATGGGAGATGGCAGGGTACCGTTATACTTCATGCTGATTCACGGACCCTGGTTAGGAAGGCTTCATCACGAGCTCCTTAACTGATGATGGATACAGAAGAGAAAAATCTATTTGAAAAGTGTGGTTGATCAGGCGCCTAAAGTATCTGCTCAGAAGTGACATGCGTTACTTATGCTCACACACAACATGCAGAAGGGTGAGGTCCTCCTGCACACCTAGATACTACAGCAGTGAGCATGACTGGCGGCCATCACAACTGGGCTCTCAATAATCTCCCTCACGGAAGCCCCCTGGGACGGGCATCAGAAACTGACACACTCCTCTCAAGGCCTGGGCACTATTTCTTCTCTTGCCTTATTAAGCTCTTGTCCGTGGGTATAGGGTACTATATACATTTTACCTTCAAAGTCAAAACCATGACCCAGAAACTAGGAACTTCCCCAGGGTCAAGACACACCTCACACTTTAATTACAAGCTTTTCTTCTAAGGTTCATGGCTTGTCTTTCTAATACCTGATATATTTCAGTATTTTCATATTCTCAATTCAACTTTACTTAATAATCATTCATTCATTCTTTTAAAATGGGGGGGAGGGGCGAGGGGCTGTTTTAAGCCATCTGTATGAAAGGCATGAGGCTGAGATGCAAGGATGACTCAGACAGGAATATTGCCCTCAAGGAGCTTATACTGTTTATCAAGGAGCTTGGACATGTGGGGATATTAATGGAGCCTATTGAAGACTCATCCGTCCACCCACTCACCTACTCAATAAACAATTGCCAGACACAGTCCAGAGTCCAGAGAGGAATACAGAGCAGTCATACAAAGTTCCTACCCTCAATTACTGTACAAAAGACAAGTGATAGTAACACCGAACCCTGCTTATTGTTCACCCAGGAAGCAGTGAGAACACAGGGAAAGGCACATAATCCAGACAGAGAAATCAGGGCAGTTTCCTGGCAAATGCTACACCCAAGCTGCACCCTAAAAGATGAGTAAGAGCTCTTCAACTAAGGAGGCACTGAACACTCCACAGGCCCAGAGAGGGAAGGAGGTACACAAGGTTCGGACAAGGACTGTGTGCAGGTGCCTGGAGTCTCATGGGTGCATGAGAAATGAGAGGAGTAACCGAGACACAGGACAGATCATGAAGAAGTTTGTATGCCAGACTAGGAATTTTCCATTTTAATCTTACAGGCCAGACTCTCTGAATATTTTGAGCCCATCTTCATCAATGAAACTATAGGAAGACATGTAAAATCTAATAAAAATATATTTATTATCTATTCTATTATATTTACATGTTCAAAAACATGCTGTAAGATATAAATGAAATATAGATTTTAGATTATGATGAAAATAATAATTCAAATATTTTTAAGTTAATTTCAGTACACAAACCTCTCTGCTTTTACTATACCTTACAGCAGTGGGTTTGACCATACTCTATTTTTTATTTTATATATATATATATATATATATTTTTTTTTTTTTTTTTTGAGACAGAGCCTTAAGCTGTCACCCTGGGTAGAGTGCTATGGCATCACAGCTCACAGCAACCTCCAACGCCTGGGCTTAAGTGATTCTCTTGCCTCAGCCTCCTAAGTAGCTGGGACTACAGGTGCCTGCCACAATGCCTGGCTATTTTTTCATTGTAGTTGTCATTGTTTGGCGGGCTCAGGCTGGATTGGAACCTGCCAGCTCTGGTGTAGGTGGCTGGCACCTTAGCCACTTAAGCTACAGGCGCTGAGCCCATACTCTTTTTTTTTTTTTTAATTACTATAGTTTATGCCATAGTAACATAAAGATCAGGTTCCAAATTCAATTTATTTCTATACCTGGCTTTAATAGATATCAGAGCCAAATATATATGTTATAAACACAGGCAGGATCCTTGGGTAGGATTTGTCATGGCACTAATCACTTATGCCAAATTTCTGTGTAAGTCTGTCTGGTAAAATTTTTTTCTTCCTTGATGTCTCTGTCGATTACTTTTATAAGATCATTAGAAGGTAATGCATTTTTATATTTTTAACAAATAGCTTCAAACCTCACTGAAACTCCTTTGGAAGATTTTTAAACAGATTAGTAAATATGCAGCTCTGATAATCTTGATAGGTGATTTAAAATAACAGGTTTGACAACAAATTTCTTGTAAAGATAGAAACATTTCCAAAACTTCCATTTTCAAAATTCTCTCTTCAAAGCATCAATTTCTTTAAAAATCAGTTACTTTCCCACATACTGTTAAGCTGTCATCTTGAGTTTGAAGAAACAAATTAAACAGGTTTGCGGTTTTTTCCCCAAATATATGCTAGAAGGAATATTAATGGCAACCCATTATCACAAAAAAGTCAGCAAATTTGAAACACTTGTCTTTTTGTCAAAGAAAGATGGACAACTCATCTTTACGTTAGACAACTCTTTTTAAGCATTCTGAAGTAACATAACCACTCTATTTTTGTGCAAAGAAGATTATTCTACCTATTCTATTTCAAAGTATTATAATCACCATTTGAATTTCTACATAAATGACATCATTTAATAACAAACTAGAATTGTTCAAAATACTCTGAAAGTGAAGAAGAGATGAATCCAACTGTAGGAAATTTTCCAATGATAGAAATCTTCTTTTCTGAAGATGCTTTCTCCATGCTTACAGACAGAGGATGGCCTGACATGGACTCTGTAAGTTCACTAAGGTCAACCCGTAGATCATATTTTGGTCAAGCTTTTTCAAGATAACTGGCCAAAGCTGTGAATGGAAGTACTAACATTTTCTTCCTGCATCTCAATGGATGGCCCAGCTCTACCCTGGGACAGAGAACTCCTGCTCTAAAGCGTAGGAGGTTAGAAAAGAGTGAAGGAGGGTGAAGGAGGGATGTGTTCAGTAGTAGTCTCTGGCAGCCATGAACAGAATAGGTTGGACAGAGGTTGAGTGGAAGCATGGATCCCAGACTGAGGCATGATGCTGGCTTGAAATAGGTTGTTCACAGAAGGACTAGCAAGAGGAAACAGTTAAAATTTTGGTTAGAAATGGAATGTGTAATGAACTACAGAATCCATAATCTGCCCCAAGTTTATGCATTACTGAGTAGAAACAAAATGCTAGTGTCGTTCTCTGAGGTAGAGGTTATAAAGCAGGGTTGGGAAGGTTTATAAAAGCCTTTAAAGGTAAAGATAATAGGCTAGGGGTGTTCAGAGGAGGAAGAGAATCCTTCCAGTTATTACAGAACCCAAGAAGGATTCAGGGAAGAGGTGGAATTTGAATAGGCAAGAGTTGAACTGCAGATAGGCAGACTGGGACTGGAGCCTGGAGCCAAGGCTGCCTGCTCTCACCTTACACGTGCATCTCTCTATTCACCTCTGTCAACAGGTATGTGCGGTCAAGGACAAAGCACGACGTTGACATGCGGATTGGAATCCACTCGGGCTCGGTGCTATGTGGAGTGTTGGGACTGAGGAAGTGGCAGTTTGATGTCTGGTCTTGGGATGTGGACATTGCAAACAAACTGGAATCTGGAGGAATCCCCGGGTAAGCCAAAGCAAATCCCTTTCCTTGATAAACTGTTGTGATTTGCTCACTTTTTGACCGCACATTTCCTTGGTGCAGAATTCAGAGGTAGAGATCTAAGAAGCAATTATCGGGAGGAAGACCAGATATTACAACATCACACAGCTATTATCCCCCCAAATCTTGCTAAATGTATCAGAGCAGCAAGGACAGTGGGACAACACTGAGGTGTTCAGGTCACTACCCAGCATTGGTTCTTGGACACAGCTACCCATTGGAATCACCAAAGGAACATTTTAAAAATACTGGTTTTCAGACTCTATGCTGCTTCATCTAAAGCATATCTTTGCAGAATCTCTCTTAAGTTCTTAGATCAGTTCTAGCAGACAACCAGAGTTAAGACCTACTGATTTTCTACCTAAGGCGTAGGACTCAATTCAGGACGGGTCTTCCTTGAAATCTCAACTCTTCAAATTTGGCTGGCAAGACTTATTGATAGAGAATCTCCCCCCAAAGGAGCTAGTGGCCTGCTAAAGCCAACTGAGTGTCAAAAGTGGCATCAAGATTCTGTTCACACAGGTTGGACCTAAAAAGATCTCAAAAATATACAAGTCAGTGAGTTGCGCTTACTTTTGGCAGCCTCTCTTTCTGAGAAATGATGGATGTTTAGATGATGATACATAGATAGATGATAGATGATAAATTGGTTTGTGATAAATAGAATAGCAGATAGCCTACCCTTAGACCTGCCTAGGGACTCACAGATTTTTCTGGTATCTGCCATCATTCCTTGAAAATTACATTTCCTGGCTCAGCACCTGTGGCTCAAGCGGCTAAGGCGCGAGCCATATACACCTAAGGTGGCAGGTTCAAATCCCCAGCCCAGGTCCGCCAAACAACAATGATGGCTGCAACCAAAAAATGGCTAGGCATTGTGGCGGGCACCTGTGGTCCCAGCTACTTGGGAGGCTGAGGCAGGAGACTCGCTTGAGCCCAGGAGTTGGAGGTTGCTGTGAGCGTGATGCCATGGCACTCTACCCAGGGGGATAGCTTGAGGCTCCATCTCAAAAAAAAAAAAAAAAAAATTACATTTCCTGACAGGTAATATGATATCATGGGAGAAAAAAGACTACAGGAGGTAGAATCAGAGAAACCAGGATTCTCACTCTTCCCCCTACTAAGATCTTCAGTAAATTATGTAAAGAATGTACCACACCTGGCATATGATTTTTGTGTGATTTGGGGCTTACAAAATTCTATGTGATCTCAAGCCAGTGCTTAACCCCTCTGATTCTCATTTTCTTTACTGCTGAGAAAGAGAGAATGAGAATTTGTTTCTTTATCTGCTAAATGGTCATAACTTACCTCACAGATCTCCTGCCCTGGGCAATGGGTGTTAAGTGCAGTGTATGCCACACAGGGACAAGCCACGTCAGGTATTGTTCTCACAGGGCTCCCTCCCTATCTGTGGTGAGTCTCCACTGCTCCCACAGCTGTACAACTACAGTAAGCCTGATGGGTCACCACTGAGCTTCCTATATCTTTAAATTCTTTGAGTTTTGCTGAAATTAAACAGCCAACTCATCTGTGTTTCCAGGCCTGTGTCTTAAAAGCATAGATGAATGAGACTTACCCATATACTCAATAGATTCCCCTTGGAAACCTTAGATATAGCTTCGAGGGTTTCTAAGATGCCACCTTGGTGTCTGGAAGACAGTCTAGCTATTGTGCTCAGTCATATTAAGAAACAGAAAAGTGACTAAGTTTAAATATAATGTGAACCATGGGTTTACTACTTACCGATGATGGAAGTTGGGGCAGGTGCCTTCATCTCCCTGCCCAGTTTCTTCACTGTTAAGATTGGGCTGAAAACACTATCAACCTCAAAATTTTAGTTTCAAATGTGAAGATGTCTACAAGGCTCTTAGTCTCCTATAGGGCATGTGGCCCTGCTTAGTCATAGATTGTTGCCAATGTGCACAAAGGCAGGAAGAACAGAACAGTTTACAGTTTGTGATTTGGGGGAGGGTTCATATTTTTCTGGGGGTTTTTCACATTTTTTCTTTACGCCTTCTGAGCCTTGAATGTCTACAGCAGTGATTCTCCAGCGGTTTGTTAAACAACAGGTTGCTGGGCCTCACTCTCAGGGTCTCTCATTCCATCTGTCTAGAGTGAGACCCCAGACTGCCTTTCTAACAAGTCCCCAGGTGATGGTGGTCTTGGTAATAAACCTTGAGGACCAACATTCTTGAGCTGTTATTACATTAAGTTACATATAAAATCCTTTATCTCGTGCTTAATAAATATTAATTGCAACTATAGCTGCCATGTGATACAGCTGGCAAGGTTCTTCTCTCAATACAGCACTGCCGTATTGAGAGAAGGTCAGCACATATTGTCTCTGGGACATTTTCACAATCTGAAAAATGAGAAAAATAAATGCCAGTCATCTGGGGCTATTGAAAGAATGGAAAGTATATGAGATAAGCCATGGACTGAAACACACCTCTGGCTTCAAGGTAACATGCCTGCAAAATAAGTGTTATGTAATTGCTAGATCTTACTTATTATGTATCCTGGCATTCAAAATTATCGGAAAATGTCAGGTTTACTTGAGATTCAACATACGAGAATATTGCCTGAAAACTGACTCACCTCCTTAGGGGGAAATGTAATCTACAGAATCTCATCTGCAAACACCTTACCCAAAAGCTCAAGCTCATAGCAAGGATGAAAAGAAACATCTAAAACCAAGTTTCTACCAAAACATTTAAGTGTCTAGTGATTAGAACTTCAGCATAAGGATTAGTGATAAGTGAAGGCGAGGCTTTCTTTCACTACTGGAAAAACAATCTCGATTCAGTGTCTACTGAGTTATTAATTATCAATCCCCCTGTGTACTGACAGCAGAATAATAAAATGTAGAATCCAGAGAGAATGCTAAATAGGTTGATATTCCATCATTTTCAAAGAAAGTCAGCTACCAAACTTTTTACAAATTATTTCTGGGGCATTCATTTTGCCTAGGGAAAAAAGTCAGCCTTCCAAGCACTTAATTCTGAGCTAGATCCAAGAAAGCAGACTGGACGTCCCTTTCATGGAGAGTCAAATGATTTGTTACTTTATCACAGCGGTTCTCAACCTATGGGTTGTGATCCCTTTGGGGGTTGCATGACCCTTTCACAGGGATTGAAATATAATCCATCCTGCATATCAGATATTTACATTATAATTCATAACCGTAGCAAAATTAGAGTTATAAAGTAGCAATGAAAATAATTTTATGGCTGGGGTCACCACAACATGGGGAACTGTATTAAAGGGTCATGGCATTAGGAAGGTTGAGAACTACTGTTTTATCAGGTCAACAACACTGAGTTCATATGTATTAACAAAATTCATCTTGAGAATGTTTTGTTTCCGGTGTGTGGGGGGGTTATTTGTTTTTGTTTGTTTTTTGAGACAGAGTCTCACTTTCTCACCCTGGGTAGAGTGCATCATAGCAACCTCAAACTCTCGGGCTCAAGTGATCCACTTGTCTCAGCCTCCCAAGTAGCTGGGACTACAACTGCCCACCACAATGCCAGGCTAGTTTTTCTGTTGTTAGTAGAGATGGGGTCTTGCTTCATTTAGGCTGGTCTGGAACTCCCGAGCTCAGATGATCCACCTGCCTCGGCCTCCCAGAGTGCTGGGATTACAGGAGGGAGCCCTCGCGCCCAGCCAGAGGATGTTGTATCAATCCAACACATTTCTCAAGACAGCTCCAACTTCTTTCACATATATTTGTAATATCTTACACTTGAAATCAATGACTACACATGAGGATACTTATTTGGGAGATGTAGAGAGCACGCGTTAAATGACTGGAGGTACATTGTAGTTTCTATTTCTTTACACCTCCTTTGCAATGAACTATCCTTTCTGGAAGAATAAATTTAGCAGAATGGGTTAGACGTGTGAAAGGAAAAAGTGGAAATAGTACTAAGAGTACAATGCATTTTAAAATTCCCCTCTTAAATATTTTTTAACTCCTTTGTTTCTTTGGATATATTATTTAGAATCACAAAATCCAAGCAAGATATTAAGCATCTACCTTATTCACTCAGTTGTTCAAAGGAGCAGAGCCCTGAAGTAGACGTACGGAAATGACTTTGAGATAAATCTAGGAGTAGGAACCTGTTAGTACACGTGCAATAGCACACTGAATTTGGAGAATTGTTGATTACTTGAATAGTTGGAGGCAGCATAGAAAGCTATAAAGGAGGAGCTTCAGAAAATGAGCTTTGAAGCGACAGGCCAGAGAATAGAGGCCTTACTCAGAAGTTAGACTGTCCCCATAAGCCTGAAGGAGGCATGGAAACACAGTAGTAATAGGATCACAATGGCACTTTTTAGGATATTCCTAATAACCTAACGATTTGCTTGTGTGGTACATCTAGTATACCATGCACTGTTGTGACTACCTTACACAAAGCAACTCATATAAAGCAGTGACCTTATGAGGTACATAATATTATATTTCTCATTTTTATGAGTTTTTCTAACTTATAGGAAGGTTAAATAATTTGCCCAATTATCTGTGGGCAAGATGGCAAGTGGTAAAGCTAGGGATGGAATCCAGACCACCTTGCTCATCTACCCTGACCCCAGTCCAGCACAGTACGTCATCTGATGCAGTTAGACAGTTATGAGTACAGAAAAACTCTTCCCCAGAAGAATTCACCATATGAAGTTTCAACAAATCAAGTCTTTTCCTTAAGGCCCTGATGTCATATATTATTTCCTTAAGGCCTTGATGTCATATATTATTTCCTTAAGGCCCTGATGTCATATATTACTTCTCAAAAAGAAATTTTAGTCATGAGCTAGAGCGGCTGACAAGTGTGCAGCAGTGAGTCACTTGGGGATGGCCTAGCCAGATGCCAGCCTGCAGCTTTGTTCTCTGATCCTTATAGTACGTGTTATAGAAGAAATTATATCTTACGGTGGTTTTCCCAAAGGACCCTCAATATAGCCCTAGGGACTTATAAGTCCTGCCCTTTTTCTTAAGAAGATTATAAACAAGTTGGAGAAACAAGGAACAAATACAGGAAAACTGGTAAAGGATAGGAAAAATCCCAAGGCAGTATGTTAACAGTTGTTGTCTGGCAATTTGGACAATAATTGCCACTGGGATCCAGAAACATTTATAGCACTTGTTTTTCCAATATAATCAAGACTACCAAAAAAAAAACCTCATTGATTCTTAAAGTTCACTGGGATCCAGAAACATTTACAGCACTTGTTTTTCCAATATAATCAAGACTACCAAAAAAAAACCTCATTGATTCTTAAAGTTCACTGGGATCAGACTGACATAAGAAAAGCCAAAACAAGTGCTGCAGTGTGGCTCAGCCGGGCTGTATTGATCACAGGTTGCAATGTTTCTTGTGAATTCAGTAATAACCTGCTCATGAATTTATTCTTATACTTCTATTTTCTTTAATTCTTTCTCCTTTTCAGGAGGACAAGTATTGTCCATGAAGTCATGTTCTAATGTAACCGTGTGCAGCCCTGATATTGGCTTAGCGCGGGACAAAAAACCAGCAACTATGCAAGCAACGTCAGGAATGTATAATGACCTGTGCTTTGTACAAACAGGAGGATTCACATTTCCAAAGCCACACTGGACTGCCTCAACGGTGACTATAATGTGGAAGAGGGTCACGGTAAAGAGAGGAACGAATTCTTAAGGAAGCATAATATAGAAACCTATTTAATTAAGCAGCCTGAGGACAGTCTGCTGTCCTTGCCTGAAGATATAATCAAGGAGTCTGTGAGCCCCTCAGACCGAAGAAACAGCGGGGCAACATTCACAGAAGGATCCTGGAGCCCCGAGCTGCCTTTTGATAACATCGTGGGGAAGCAGAATGTAAGTCCTCTGTCCCTTTTTCTGCTTGGCCACAAATGCATGCTCGGTGCATCTCCAGCCCAGATGCCTCTGAGAAAACTGATTCATCTTTAACCTTTTCTCCTTGAGCACCATAATTGCAAATGATCAAACACATCTCTGTATCTCCTTGGGACAGAATTAACCTCTATGTAATTTCAGGAAATGCCAGAAATGCCAGCAGATTCCTAACACTCTCTTCCTTTTCTTTTCCTTTCTTTTTTTTTTTTAACCTCACTAAAAATAAGCATCACATGAAGTTGAAATGTAATTTTATCCCACCTCAAATAAATCACTCACTTTGAAAAAGATAAACCTGCTGTTATTAAACTAAAAAGAAAGGTCAAGTGCATAAGAATGCCCCTTTTTAGGTAACTGGCCATTAGCAGTTCTGAGTTGCCCTCTGAGATCATAGACCAGAGGGCACCATTGATTTGAGAGATTGAAAGTAGCACCATGGGATGCCCAGAGTTAGGGAATTCAAGGGGAGCATTCAATTTTAAAGCCACCTACGTAATTCTATTATTATATAGGATGGATTTGCATCTTATACACAAAGGAAGGACAGGGCTAACAAAGCCAGAAAACAGGAGTTAACCACCAATAACCAAAAGTGTTTTTAAAAAATACTGGACTCACATGAAAGCTAAGGAGATGCTCAGAGCCAGAGCACTAGAGACGGAAGTTAGCAAGGTCAGCAACAGAAATTCTGCCCTCCTTAGAATGCTTATTCAGAGCACTGGCAAAATCAACTGTTCTAATATGGATTTTTTTAACTATTTGTCCAGAGCAAAAAGAATTAAATTCATGTAAGTTAAATAGTGTAACTCTGTCATACTTTTTTAAAGAAACAAATGAAAAAAGCCAAGAGATGGTTTGCCTGACAGTTCTTGATGTGATCCTGAGCCAAGGAGCTAAGAGTACAAGGGAGTAAGCAGACCAAGCTCATAGTGTCTGCAGCTTTAATTCCACAGACTTGAACATTTCCCACTAATGTGTAGATTTTTAAAAAAATCTGTCTGCATAGAGAAATTTGAGATGGAAAAGGTTAAAATGTTGAAAGTCTTCCCTCTTTCGTCTGCATTTGAAAGCTTAATGGGGGAACTCTGAGGCAAGTTTATCTTTAGTTTTTTCCCATTCTGTTGGAAGAAGTTATGAGGTAATGCATGGACCATATTCCCCCTGGGAAAGGCTGCAGATTGGATTTAGTCTGCACGCTTTGCAAAGAGTCAACTCTGAGGTGTTTGTGAGAGTTTCATTTTTCTCAAAACTTATGATGACCATAACTGATTACCGTGCCTAATCCTTTCCATCTCTGAATTGGGGTGCATGGTACAGTTTGATGGTATATAGAATCATCGTCTTATATACCTCTGGAGTTGGTGCATGGCCAGCTAGCAGTGCCCTCGCTGCTGCTTCTGCCTCTTGTTAGCTTGAGCCTGAATGCTAGTTATTAAAGAGAATGCGCACGCCTCCCCCTGAATACCTCAGTAACTCTGCATAAAGCTCGCTCTCTCTCAGATCTGCTTTTGTTTCAGCTTTTGTTTTTAAAAAGCTGTCTTTATTTAAAGATGTGGAAATTGAGAAAATTTCTTATCATTCTAATCTCAAGTGTACCTGACCTTGTTGCTAACAACTGATATCCAAGAAGAGAAGTCGATGTGGTTGATTTTATTCTGTGATTGATTGGTCTGGTTAATTTGTATACAAATAATTGAAATAGTCTTTGCTTATTTCCTAAAGCCATTACATGATGTTATCTAGACGTTATTGTAAAAGATGTCATTATTAGCCAACAATTGTCATTCTTGGTATTTAAACCATGTATTTCTAAGATGCCTGAGTTTTGCTGGGATATAACTCATCTGTGCCATTCCAACATGAATAATTTCCATTCATTTTGATGCCATCAGACTAAAGAGCCAATGAATAAGTTCGGATATTTACAAATGACCTTGTGGCACTAACAACATTTTGGAAATAACTGAGCTGATTAAAATAGTCAGAAGCATTTAGCTTGTACTTATGCTTCACTCTAGGAGTCAGTTAGCCATATGTGTAATTCAGAGACATAATGTGTCCCTGGACGAGCTCAAGACTGGTCTGGCTGAGCCTAGTCTGTGCCAAAACGCCCAGTCACTTCCATAGAAGCCCCAACCATCTGAGTGTTTGCATAACACAGATAAAACATACTAATGCTTCATTGGGGATTTTCCAGCTAAATTGGCCAGATGTTTTGGCTTTTATTGATTCATAATACGTGCTTAGAAGTATTTTTAATGATACCGAATTGCTGTGTCATATTCTGTGCTATGCAGACAGCAGATGTTCAGATAGTAACATCCTCATGTATTCATTCATTCAATGAGGATTAATTGAGCAGCTAGTACTTGCCAACTACTGTTACTAAAGAAAAAAAAGGACAGGAAAAAAATCACTTAAAATAAAATCAACCAGTAGTTTGCATTCTTCATGAAGGCAGCAATTATATCTGTTTCACTTACCACTGTTTAGCCCACAGTTAGAACAATACCCAGTAAATCACAGGGCCTGATTAAAATTTGTTGAATGGATGAGCGAAATGATAGCTGTGAGTAGTAAGGAGGAAGAACCAGTGAGGTTTGACTTCTAGGTTTTTTGCTTGAGTGACTGGGCAGATGATAGACCTTCCAACTCTAATAAGCAATACTGGAATGAAAGGAAGTTGGGAAGACTTGGAATTCATTAGGGGATGTATTGAACTCAGGATATCCAGGAGAAATCCAGGGAGAGATATACAGAAGGCTGCTGAACACATGCTCCTGTAGCTCAGGAATAGAAGAACTGTGCCAGGGATGTGGTTCTGGTCATCCTCAGATTCTGAGTGCAAGAAGAATCCATGACAGTAAAAGAGATCACTACAGGGCATCTGTAAAATTAAGGCATAAGAAGGCACAGAGCAGACCTTGAGAACCACCAGCTGGAAGGAGAAAGGGAATAAGGATTCCTAGACAAAGACAGAGAGCAGACAGTCAAAGTGGTCAGAGAGAAAGTGCTGCCCTGAAAGCCTGGAGAGTATAGCATTTTGAGAAGGAAGGGCCATCAACAAAGTCATATGCAGCCAAGAGGCCCAGTAAAATAAAGATGAAAACTGGCTATTGGAATGTGATGGAAGGACATCACTGGCACAAGGCAGATTTGGGGGGATGGAGGAGTCAGAAGCCAGGTTGTCGTAGCTGACAGAGAGGACTCTGGGTTTCCAAGAAGCACTCTAACTCCATCCCTGCCTCCTGTCCTCTACCCATGTCAGTAGTCTTTCAGTGGCTTGGAGGAGCAAGAAACATCACTAATAATTCTTTCTGGCCCCTTGTGTGGGTCACCCAGCCCGGGTCTTTACCTACCCGTGCATCTTCCCTGTTCCCACCCCCTTATCCATGCGGGTTAGAACTGCTGGTTTATCCCAGGCTGCTTTCTGGAATCCAGGTTGCTCATGGACATCCTGAGCACCAGGCTTTGCAACTCTGACCCCAGACCCATGCAGATGCTCCGCAAATTGATTTAATGTCTTGGCTTCCTGAACCCTGGCTAAGTTCCCAATGAGAATTTCCATTCTCACTCCAATGAGAATTTCCATTCCACTTAAATTACAGTGAACTACCTGGGATCATAAGTTTCTTGCCTTATGATCCCAGGTAGTTCACTGTAATTTAAGATTACAAAAGTAAGAAGTAGGTAGTTGAAATAGACCACAAGTGAAAAAATTTACCATTTGTGGAAGACTATCCCGAAATTTCAAGGCTAGATTGTCAGATGAGGTTAGGGTTAGGGTTTGGGTTAGAGCAAGGGACATTGGACCTCTCAGAATAAAAACAACATTGGAAATGAAAAGAAGACTTAAGAAAAGGGTCCTTCCCATAAAGAGTATATTCTTCCCTCTAGTGTATGCTCTGACTATGATCTATATCTAAGCTCGTGTTCTTGTTTATTCAGCTACTTAACAGATAGTCGGATACACTTGACGCACGAGATGCTATAATGAGTCCCTCTCCTCCCAGAGCTTACATTTCAATGGAGCAAAGAATGTAGACAATTAACCATAACATGTAAGTGCTATGAAGGAAATAGAGAGAGAGACCACCAGGGGGCTTTCAGAGAAGGTCTCTCTGGAGATTTGATTTGGGGGCGGAATGGACCCACATGCTAATAACAGGAACAGTGTTCTAAACAGAGGAAAAGGAGGGGCCTCGTTCTTCATGGCCCAAAGAAGCATCCTGGGTTTTTACCTTCTACTTTGTGCTCAGGTCTGCCAGTCTTACAAGACAGAGTATATGTATATTTTGTGTGTGTGTGGTATGTTGTATATGTGGTATGTGTATATCATGTGTGGTGTGGGTGTATTGTGTGGTGTGCATGTATATGTGTATATGTGCTTGTATTCAACCTCTGACATATATGGATCACTTGTTCACCAGGGCTATTTAGACATTTTCTGTCAAAGCTTCAGAAAATGGCCAGATTCTCCTCCAGCTAAAATTTGGAAGCCCTTTCCTACCTTGAGTGATCTCATCACCTGAATGTCCTAGTATACACGAAGGTTGTTTGCATGGAAAAAGCCAAATTTGGCAGCCTCTCAAATCTGCCTCCTGGTAAAACAAACAACCATCTGAAGTAGTCCCACTTGAACTGGAGAATGTTGAGACCAGAAAAAAAGGCAATGTGTATAGAGTGGAGGGCTGGCTGGACTGGCAAGCAGCAGAAAAGAACTATATGTTCACCTGCTCACTCTGGGACTTCCCTTATATCTGGTTCTCTGTGTTCATTGGAAAGATTCTTGTCTGATCACGGTCCTGATTTAAACCCTCAAGTAGACCTAGTGCTGATCCTCAGAGTCCACAAAGTGAACTGGTTAGTCCTGCAGACTATGAATCTTGTGATCTTGGGGTAAATCTCTGCATGACTCAAATTTGCCCATAGGATAGTGGAAGGGCCTGAATGTAAATACA